GAGAGAGAGAGAGAGAGAGAGAGAGAGAGAGAGAGAGAGAGAGAGAGAGAGAGATGTACAATACCACACATACGCTCCCACCACGATTTGTTACTATATGTGGAGACGGGCAGTCAATCTAAACATCTCAGGTCGATTAAAAATTTGAGGTGCAAAAAAATAATATACATAAGTGGAAAAACAATGTAGAAGTGGTGCCTACGGAGACTAATACGAATTCTGTTTTAAACAAAACAACGAACCGAGTCAATTACACTTCATTCAACAAGGCAAAGGTGTAGTTGTAATCATATCACTAGATTCTCCCCCTCCAATTACACCCCTCCTGGCTCACCCACCCTCACCCTTTTAATCAATATCAGCGGTTAAGGTGTCGAGGTTGCAAGAACGTTGCATTCCCTCCACATCCCCTCCCTTCCCACCATCCCCACCGGCCCCTCCCTGTGGTGTCAGCGGCGATTGTGCATCACCTTTGCCAGTGCATAAAGACGGTTGCAACTGACTCTCCGCCACGCTCGGCCCAACACCAGACTCTGACTCGATCTCGGATCTGCCTTCCATTGAAGCATTTGTTATCAATAAACTCCCGTACGTGGCACCTGCATCCGGGCGGCAACGTCGTTGACACATCGATGGGTGGGGACGATTGTGTCGCGGCGACCGAGATGAATTTTTTCGATATTTGCGGCATTGACGTCATGTCAACCTCTTGAGGCCCGACAACAGTAGTCTCGTCATCTTCCCTGAGCCCTGCTTGCGCGGGCACGGAGGCCGGCTCAGACGAAGGCATGAAATCATGAGAGCAACCCCCCTCCAAGGTTCTAGCGGTTTGATCAACCTTCCAGTTGATTGACCCGCGTGAGGGACTCGAGCACAGGGCATAAAATTTGTTGTTGTACTCCAGTTGCCAATTGTCGTGCAAGGCATGAAACAATTCTTCGGCCTTGGCTTTGATGGCGACCTCGTTCTGCCCTGGATTCTCGACGTGCACGCGATGTAGGATCGCGAGCTCCGTCGTTTTCAACCAGATGTCATTTCACATCCGACGAAAAGTCTTCCAACCGCTCGTGTATTTCACCGCCATCTTCCACTCCCCATCTTGGATGCACGGCTGTAAAACGCCCTCATGCCATATGATGTCATGGCCCCACTGATCCTCGCCTGTGTGGGTGTGTTTGCCCTCCAAGAAATAAATCGTGTTCGGGTCAACACAGTAGCCTGAAGGAATTGCATCGCCTGGTGCGAGCGTCGACACCTCGCCTGGTATGTCAATGTCATCTTCTTCATTGCCACCGCATCTTCCAAAGTCTTGCAATGCAGCAGTCTCCGACGGGGCCACCATTGAGGCGACGCTTGGGGCGGCCACCGGGATGGACCCTTCGTGCGAATGGACAGTTCCGTCATCGTGAGCTTGCACCATGCCACCGCGCGGAACCTGAGCACATGTGCCCTCGCCCAGTTCGAGGTCGGAGTCTGAAGAATCTTCCTCGCTGTCGACGGGGTTAAAGCCATCGCCCGATTTCGCGAGCTCCGCGTAGTCCTTGGACATCAATTGGCCTTTGCGAAGATCGAACTTGAGGATCTCGCATCGAGCAACAAAAGTCGCAAAGGCGCCAGTGAGAGCACCGTGATAACTTTGAGGGTCTCAGTTGCCTTTGCTTTCCTGTATATATATTTCCCTTCAAGCCGTCCTTGTGGCATATTGCTGAACAGGTACTCACACACCTTCAGTCTCTTAGGCCCCAACTTCTGGAACATGTCCCTGTTCGGGCGATGTTTGCAACGCGGCTTCTCGACGTGGCAGTTGAATCTGTCGTCCTTGACAAGTATATCGATGAACTTTGTCAAGTATGCAATGTCCTTTGCCGACTCGTCACAGGCAATGACATTATTCCCTGCCAGTAAGAATTTCCACACAAGACCCGTGTGCGCCCCACCCAATAAAAGCACACCTTCCGCCTCCCCGACGAATGACCCGCACAACGAACGCAACTTGCCAGGCTCTCGCTCCTAGATGGAATATACCACACTTTCATCGCCCTCTATGCCACCGTGTTTCCCCAGACACTTCCCAAACTTCTCCTCCACAACATGCACGTTTGTGAAGTCATTGAGAAGGTGGGGTGCGACCGTGACCTTTCTGAGATCCCTTCCCTCCGCGTGCAGGACAATGGTCATCATGTCTTGACTCGCCGTAGCGATATTGCCGTACCTCGTGATGTCATTCGATGGCCTGTCCACCCGTTTCCAGATCCCGAGGATAAGTTCGATGTCCCCCCACCAGAATAAGCAACGCAGAACATCACTTTGCACCTTCTGCGCTGCGAAGACAAAAAGAACCCAATTAACGCTACAACACTTAGTCATCATAGAGTGCAGAGCGTCGAACTCTTGAGAGGTCCATGTCATGCAAAAGTTGGCGGGGGAGATGTCAAGGATGACGGCCCTGCAGGTCATTTTTTGCGCCGCAGCGATGATGTCGTCTGGCGCAGTCAGCACTTCGTTCAATGGCATGCACACCGGTAGCAATGTTGTTTGCTTTTTAAGTTTATCCCACACGATATGACGTGCGCTAGAGGCGACCCGTTTGACCTCCGCCCGAAGCAGATCGAGCTTATCGATTGAGGTGTATACAAACACCTTAAAGTGAAACGGAGCCTCCTTATACATTGTCGCCGTAGGGCCCAAGCCTGATCCTTGCCTTGCCTCCTCCACCCCTCCAAGTCGTCAAGGGACCGTCTTCACTTTGCTGACATGCAGCTTGTCCCGTTCCTTCTCCCATTCAGCTGCACACAGACCGTTCGGCCCATACTTGTCTTCGAGGTCCTTGTATGACATGAAGAAGGCATCATTCCATTCATCGTCCGCCCTTCCCTCGGCGTGAAAAACAACGTAGTTGAACATACGGACCATGTAGCCTTCCTTGCGCATGATGTCAAGGAGGCACTCCCTATTCACTCTCGGAGGCATGACCTTGACGTTCGTCGCGACCACCTTCCCTTTCATGAGGAGGAGCAGTGCAACTTCTCTCTCGCGGCACGTCAAATCCCCGAAATTTTTGAAGTAGGAAGGACAGAGATCCTTCCACGACACGGTGGAGCTTTTGGGACCATCTCTCGCGTATATGCAATGGTATAATGTTCTTTGCCCCTTCGTCTCGTCGGTGTACGGGCCTGGCTGGCGCCCCTCCATCCTACCCGGCATGTCAAGCGGTATTTTACCATCGCCAACTGACAGCTTCCCTTCGTTGAACATCTCGAAGAACCTCTCGACCAGTGACCACACAGCCTCGGTGGATGTGGCGAGGTTTATGTAGCCACGGAGTTTATTGCTCCAATCCTTACTGTACTCATTCTCGAGCGCTTGCTTCACGAACGCCTTGTCGCATACCTTATCCATGGAGGCCCTTAAAAAATTATGCCACTTCTTTTGGTGCGCAACGGCGACCACATCCTTATCGCTGACCTTGGCCTTTCGGGGCCTCGATTCGGTGGTTATCGATCCACCATTGCCTCATATCACGGGCAGCATCCTCGAACAACAACATCATGGCCCGATTTTCGCGCGTGTTGCCGAAGGCGGAGACATTGAAATACCCTCGCGTCTGGTCATCTCCAAAATAGAGGACCCGCACCTTAGAGTACGCGCGAAGGCCATAGACATCGACTGTCGGAGAACCCCTTTTTACCAATGTCTTCATGGCCTCGACCGTATGCTGACCACAGACAGCGTACCAATCGAACTCCGAGGAGTCTCTTTCGAAGAATTCAATTGGTGTTATCCGCCTTCCCTGCCCGCCGACGATTTCGTTGCGGTCAACCGACGCAAGCACGAGCTCATGCCTATCCCACGCCCCCGGTTCCGTGGTGATGGAACTCTCGATGGCATTCTCGATGCCTCGCACAATGTTCGCAGACAAAGAGCGGTGGTTAAAAAGAATATTCCCACGGGGAATACGTTTGATTTTCATGACGTCCACAAGAACAGGAAGGACTTTTTGCTTAGAAAAACCCCGCTCGTCGTACTCGAGGAAGAAACAACGCGTCGTGTCGATGGGCAGCGTGCTGAAGCGGTTCATCACCATCGTCGGGCATGCGAGGGCCCACTCAAGTCCCGCAGTTCTTCTTCCCTCATCATCTGCTTACCTTTTCTTGCGCCACCACGGCCGCCGCCACGACCGCCAGATCTTCCCCCCTGGCTGCTCTTCCGATGAGGTCTCGCCTCCTGGGATGCTGTCAGAGCTTCACGTAGCACGAGCCTCATTAACAGCGTCAATCCTCGCTTGTCTCTTGTGAGCGGAAGCAGAGGGAGAAGTCTCTCTTGTCCTTTTCCTCGACTTTGATCCTTCGTGTTCCTGCGAGTCATGCCCACCCTGACTCCTGCCTTGCGAATGCCATATTGCAGGGGACGACAAGGGCCGACCAACAGCGACTCCCACAGAACCGGCGGGGATGTCGCCAGGGCCATGCTCCGATGTGACACCGACGTCGTCATCGCCAAGCATGTTCTGGTCCTGCATGTTCTCATCCCCAACATCCATATACTCGTCATCACCTCCGTCTTCACAAGGACCGCAGCGTCGCCCATCTTCTTCCTCCTCGTTTCGCTCACTCAGGCCAGTCGCACCCCCTTGGACATTGTCACGCGCAGCATTGCGTCCGTACATAAGTCTGTCATTGCACTCCGTAGCCTCGCTGGAACATTGAGCGAGATCGTGACCTCCCCTCACCGCGGGCAATGGCGAGGGCGACGGGGCTGGCAAAGGCGGAGCTCGACAAGCAGGCAAATGTTTCCTCTTCCCAACCGGTGCGTATGACGTCTGTCGCGAATTCCTCGAGCTCGTGACAAAGGGCACGAAAACACAGTCGGCTTGCTGGTCCAAAGGCAGTCTCGAGAAGGCTTCCCTGTACTCCGTAGTGACACCTGTTAGTTAGTCCGCTGGACTGCTAAATTTCACCAAGGGTTTGGTGAGCTCCAAGGAACTTTCGACGACAGGAAGGCAGCCAGTGACGCGGTAGCCCTTCGTTCTGCTGAGGAATTGTTCCGCAGTGAGCATGCGAAGCTCGGTGCCATCCCCGTGCACGTTAAACGCTTTCATGGAGAAAGCATTGACGCCGTAGCCTTGAAAGAGCCGCAAGTCAAGGCCGACCTTCTTGTCTTCCTTGACCCAATTTGTCCCATCCTTGTCGAAAACTGACGTAAGGAAGAAGGTCCTGAACGACCTCCCATCGTAGGTATTCCAGGCGCTCTCAGATTTCTCGACACCCCCAAAACAGTACAACGTGGCACCATTGTCGTCGCTCAAGAAGACGACGGCCCCACACCCAGGCTTATGCAGACCACCAACCCAGTCCAGAGCCCATGGTTTGTTGTTGTAGATCTTTGACCTGCCGTATGCCCGAGAGGTCAAAGCAGCAGGTTGACCTAGAGGGCACAAACAAAGGAAACGCACAAGCAAAGAAAAAATGAGGAACAGACAGAAGCACTTCGCGTGTGGAGTCGACGGCCCCCCCTCGCGTCCTCAAGGATCGGGGATCCGCCCTTCTCCAAACGGCAGACCCCCATCTCCATAACCGAGGGGGTCCGGCGTTCTGGAAACGCCCGACCTCCCGCCTTCCGCGCACCGAGGGGGTCCAGCGTTTCCAAAACGGCCGATCCCCAGACCCTCGTCTCCCCACCCTCGTTTTTGAAAGGGGGTCCGGCGTTCCCAGAACGCCCGACCCCCGACCGTCATTTCCGAAAGAGGGTCCGATATTCCCAAAACGCCAGACCCCCGACCGTCGTTTTCGAAAGAGGGTCCGGCGTTCCCAGAACGCCCGACCCCCGACCGTCGTTTCCGAAAGAGGGTCCGGCGTTCCCAGAACGCCCGACCCCCGACCGTCATTTCGGAAAGAGGGTCCGGCGTTCCCAGAACGCCCGACCCCCGACCATCGTTTCCAAAAGAGGGTCCGGCGTTCCTCGAACGCCCGAACCCCGACCGTCGTTTCCGAAAGAGGGTCCGGCATTCCCAGAATGCCCGACCCCCGACCCTCATTTCTAGAAGAGGGTCCGGCGTTCCCTAGACGCCCGACCCCCCGACCCTCGTTTCTGAAATGGGGTCCGGCGTTCCCAGAACTCCCGACCCTCGACGTCTCCGAAAGGGGGGTCCGGCGTTCCCAATACGCCCGACCCCCGACCGTCGTTTATGAAAGGGGGTGGGGGGGGGGGGGGGGGGGGGGGGGGGGAGGAGAGGGGGAGGGGGTTAAAAACGGTCTGCACAGAGGACACTTCCGCAAGGGGGGAGTTGTCCCCCTGTCTCTTATACACATCTAGA